TCATTCCCAATGTTTCTTCAGGTTTGAAACGTGAAAAAGTAGGTGAAGTGATTTCAATTCTAATTTGTTATAAAAAATATTATAAAACTTTAAATATTGTAACGAATACAAGCCGATAAAAAAAATATTATCAGATCGCAACAGTTTAATATTGTAAGTTAAAAAAAAAGCAAGAAGGAACAGTATGTTACAAAAATTTACATATTTTTACATATCCAGGCAGTAGTTCATATTCAATATTTTACAAAATTTTTGTTTTTTTTTATATAACTAAATAATTTTTTTATAATTTCCTGATGTTCTATATAAATAATGAGCTTTATACAACAGTTATTTAATATGTGTTGAAAAATGTAATAACATGATTTTAAATTTTAAAATTTTTAAATTAAAATGTTAAAAATAAGATTGATGGCATACCAACAAATATTCTATTTTAATTATATTACATTTAACAAACATTCCGAGTATATTTTTTACTTCGAAGCAATTTTAATTTTTTTTATATTACTTTGCATGCACTTACTACTGTTTACTTCAGTTTTTATATTACATTTTAACTTAATCCCTTTTTAACTACAAAACATAGTTAGATTTGAAAATTTCTAAAATTAAAATCTAAATTATATCGTAAAAACAATTAAAGCAAATTTTCTAGGTACTATTATAATGTAAAATATTTTACATTATTAGGTTATTTTCGAGTAAAATCATTTTTTATTTTATATATCAATCAAAACGATTTATTTGTTTCTTTCGAATAAATAAATTATATTTGAATTTAATGTTGAAAATTAATTTTGAAAATTTATTAGTTTTATTGTATTTAGAATATTTATTTCAAAAGTAAATTATTTTGAAGTTAAAAAGGCTGTTACGCAAATATACATTTTTAAGTTTTGATCTTTTGATTATGTTAAAAAACATTTAAAAACTATTACTAAAAGAGTTTTTACAAATATTAATACAGCTTAAATTTTATTTCATCAATTTCATATAACTATAAAAGGAAAAAAATTATAATAATAATTTTAATTTCATTTTTTGATATCCTCTTCATTGTGTATTTAAAAATTATTTTTGTATATTTTATGTACATTATCATCAGTACACTAAACGGATGTAAGTTTTGGTATTAATCCGTAGTAGAATTATCTCCAATAAACTTTTCAATTAAATTTAAAAAGGAAAACAGATAAAGCAGCAATTATCTGTTTGCAAATGTACATTTTAAATATGTATACAACTAACAGTAATATTTTTATAAAATTATATAAAAAAATATTAAATGAAACTAAATTTAAAATATTATATGAAACTTAATTTTTTTTGCTACGTAATACGTACATATTTTTAAAAAATTTTAAACACAATTTTATCTCATAAATGATTTGTTTTATCTTAATATTTTCATTTTACAAATTTTACAAAGAAATTTTTTTAACAAATTTTTACAAAAGTGTGGTCTTTTGCGATTTCTTATTTTTTTGTTTTTATTATACAGATATTTTAAATATTTTCAAATTGATTTCAAGCCATTGTTTTTCTGCTGTCATGTAATTCTTGTTTTGTCAGTAAATATAAAATTATATTCGTAACCTTATCTATTCGTAAACTTATATATTATAAATCTACAATATTTAATTACATAATAAATTACTTATTGTTGTAAAAAATCAATTGTCATACATACTATTTTAATTTAGCTATGCCTATGTGAAAAATATTCACGTTATGAATGCAAGTTGATTTGAAATGAATTAAACAAAAAAGAACAATATTTATAGAAGTAATTTCAGAAAGTTTACAAAAAATAATTAAAAAAATATTAAATAACACTTAAAAAAATACATGCACTTATTTGAAAAAATTATATAATATGAGATGAATTTTACACTATAACTTATGGTATTCAATATTTTAATTTATGAACTGGTTTTCTAAATTATACTGATTTTACATTTCTAAGTTGAAAAAAAAAATGTTTCTTTTACTAAAATTAAATAAATAATCGTAAAATATTTTTTTTTGAAAAATAATAAAAAAATATACAAGATTTATTATAACTTTTTTCACATGCATGGTGATAATGTAAACATAAGTGGTACTTCAATATTAAAAAAAAATTTAAAAAGGTTTTGCCCGCGATATTGAAACTTAATTTTAAATTTAATATTTTGAATTAAATATTATTGCAAGTCGCTGTCCACATGGACGTCAATATTTCTGTTCAATTACAAACAAAATTTTTTATGATTTCCTAAACTCTTATGATTAAGGATTTAAAAAAAGAATTTTGTAAATAAAAGAAATTTTAAGAATTTAAAGCGAACAAGTTTCATTTTTTCTACGAGTAAGATTTTATAAAAATTTTTTGGACCTTCTTTTATTCTTTGTTATAAAAACTTAGCAGTAAATCATTTGCACAACAAAGGATTAAGATTCAATAGGATAGTTTTACGCAAATTACTTTACAAAATTAAATCGTATCTGTTTTTTATGCTATGAAAATCCCTATTCTAGACAATTTTAATAATTTCTTATATAACTTAATGAACATAATATTTGTTTTGTAATCATATAAATGCAGTATCAATTATTTCATTTCTTATGGTAAATAGAAAAAAAAAATTAAAAACAATATTGGTTTTAACTACTTCATAAAAAAAAATTTAAATTTGCAAATTTAGTAAATTTAAAGTGAATTTGAATTTGTAAATCTAATTTCATTTGTTTTTAATTTTACATCATTATCAATTATAATAATTAAAATATATATATTTTTGAAAAGTAATTAATTATATTTTATTATACTATATTGTAATTTTTAATATGTAAGAGAATTATTTATAGGATATCTTTACAAGAATATTTATAATGTACGAACCATTGACACAAATAATAATAATTTAAAATAATATAATATAAAAAAATAAAACTTAGTTAAATTATATATTTTATTTAATATCTAATTGTTAATTATAGTCCTGCATAATTAAATTACATAATTTATATACAACAAGAAAATGTTATTTTATTTGTGAATTTTTTGTTTTTAATATGAATTATAATTTGAATTTTCCAATTATTTTAGTTAATGTATAAAAATAGAAAATTTCGATATAACTGTATATTTTAATGATTGTTCATATTAAATTGTGAACTCATTATATCTGATATTATTGTTTTTCCACAATGCCTTTTATGTATGCAGTAAAAAAGATTATTTAAAATAGTTATTGGCAATTGTGTATGATATTTTTGATAAATATGACAATCTTACATAATCACAGATTTTTTGTTAAAAATATAAATTTCGATAATATTCCTCTTGTACAAAAAATCTTATTAACACAAATAAATTTTTAACATTTCCTTATTTTCTGTTACATACTTTTTGTATTACATTCAAAATGGTATTTGACTTAATTTAATATTATATTTTTAATTATTTAGTCTCATTGATCTTCGGTTTTGATTGTACAAAAAAAAATAATAATAATAATAAAAGTAAAATAAAATAATGAAATCGCATTAAAATACTTAAATACCAAAATTTTGAGAAAAAAAAATACTTACATATGGAGACCTTAAATAAACTTAACTATAAGTAATTATTAAGATATTATTAAACTAAAAAAGTGTATTTTATTGAAAAATAATAAAAGTACAAAAGACTTTACGCAAATACCTCCTATTAAATTTAAAAATACCTTCTTATTGATTTTTCTTTTGCTTTCAGAGTAATGCCCGTTATTTATACTACATGTAATTTAACTTCACTATCTTGAATATTGTCGTGAAAACAATCTTTAATTTTGAAAAACCTTTTTTTTGTGGTCGAATAAATGAAGAAAAGTGATTTTTTACGAACTCACTTTCATTACAATAAGGACGATCACATTGAAATGTTTTATATTAATAGTATTCGCGCTATTTATTTGGAAAAATTTTACAAATTTTAACAATGTATTTTTATTGCTATTAATAAAAAATATTAATATGAAATTATTACAGAAACTAATAATTTTTCCATAATTATATTACTTAAATAGTGTAGAAATTATGTTAACATAAAAGTACACAATGAATAACAATCTGTTTAATGCATTACCATTTTTAATCAAACGAAGCTTTATGTAGTATTTAAATTCAATAATTAGGTATTTTACTTCATGTTTAAATTATAAGGTAATAAATTTTATGTGTATGTTGTACATATGTATAAGTAACAAACAAAATAAAATAAAATATATAATAGAAATAATAAAAAAAAACAAATGACAAGAGAACAAGATATTAAGTCTTAATATTTTTTCTGTTTTATCAACACAATTATTTAAATTTTTTTTGTTTTGTTTTAAAATAGAATAATAGTTAAAAAAGAATCACATGCATAATATATAGTACACATATATACTTCAATTATATTTTTTTAATACATGTAGTTGTATATTATATAAACATATTTTACAAAAATTAATGTTATAGTAAATAATAACCTAAAAACTAAAATTAAGATTAAAATTAAAAGAAAAAATAATATATGTATAGAATATAGAAAATTATATATATATATAAATATATATATATATATATATATGTATATATATATATATATATATATATATTTATACATATATGTACACACATTATGGTTGCTTAAATAAATAAATGAAAACATAATCTATAAAAAGCAGTCAATTCTTTTTGTTATAAATTTCTAAAACTATATGTATATAATATGTATTTTGTATCTGCCGAAGCATGTAAAATAAATAATTCACTATTTTTGTTATTTGTTAATTATAATTTCCGTTAATGTGATAGATCTTTTAATCATTTTATTACACTTTCAATTGTTGTTACAAAATTACATGTGTTTATACATATTACATATATATAAATATATATATATATATATATGTGTGTGTGTCAAACAAACTAATTTTTCTTTCATTAATTTTCTTTTCATAGTGGTTTATCTTAACTTTATATTGTGTTTTTGTTTTCTAAAGGAAGAAACCTAAAGGTTCAATTAATATGTGATTTTAACACAAGAATTTCAAAAATCTTATCAAATATGTTTAACATTCATTTTATATTATAATTATTTATTTTTTGTAATAAATATGTATATTAGAATTTTTTGTGTTAAACTTTCATTTTCATCATTTTTTTTTCCTTTCTTATATTTTACCAGAACTTTATTTATGTTTACATACAAAAATTTTAAGAAAAAAAGATTAAAAAAATTTTGTATTATAACTTTAACTTTCCTTTGAGATTTACAAAACACCATTGGTTGGAGGACCAATAGGACCTAAACCATTATTAGTTGAATTACTATTACCAGATGTTGTGACTCCATTAGTATTATTAGTTGCAGATATTGTTGAGGAAACTGTCGAAGACGCAGGACCGTTAGTATCCATGCTAGATGATGTTGATATAGTTGAGTTTACAACTGTAGTTGTTACAACAGATCCACCAGTTACTGAATTGCCTTGTGATCCAGTTAGCGATCCAGCATTCGCTACAGCAACCGCAGCTGCAGCAGCTGCCGCCGTACCTACAGGGTTTGCTGATTTCATAAAGAATTTTTCTAATTTTGCGTTTATGTGTTTTCCATAAGTATATTTTCGTAATGCAGCCATATGTGGTCGTATTTTATTCATTAGTTTTTTCAGTTGTGTTGGTTCCGAAACGTCAATCATTTTTTGAACAACATAATTTGCGTATTGATCTTTCATCATGACATGCAATGCGCTAAAAATTTTATAGAGTGTAAATTAAAAACCAAAGTTTTTTTTTGTTATAGTATAATTTACCTGTCGTTGAAAGTACAAATTTCATCAATTAGTTGGGTTCTTTCAGCTCTCGTTGCATGTGTGACACATTTTTCAACAACATTTGATGCAAATTTATGCTGTGATAATACCAAAACACGCCCGCGAACTCCAGCAATTAAAATAGATTTATCTTCTGGTTTGCCATGTTCTTAAATTAAATTTTACATATTAAAATTTATTGTTTTTAGTTTTTTGAGTTTCAAATAACACTTACCCAAGACATGTTGTATAACGTAATTTCCGTATTGATCCTGTATTAATTGTTCAGTGTGTTCATGTAATTCATCTAGAATCGGTTGAGTTTGCTCTGGTGTACAGTGTTCTAAAATACGTTGAATAACTCTGCAGCCATACGGATGAGTGCTTAATGAATAAATTTGTCCTTTAAAAGCATTAATAATAAATTGTAATGCGCTTGGTTCAACACATTCGATGCATTTTTGTACAACATGATTTCCATTTTGATCTTTGACACATTTCAAAACATGCCCATCTAGTTCTTGAACAATTTCTTTTTGTTGTTCGGCTGAAATGCTTTCTAGGGCCTTTTGTATAACACGACAGCCATACATTTGTAACGCCAATGGAAGAACATGTCCTTTAACTTGATTAGCTAATGTACTCTTTTGCTCGGGTGTACCAAATTCGAAAAATTTCTGAATAACATAATTGCCAAAAACATCTGTCATCAAACTATAGGCAGCTCCCAAAATTTCATTAAAAACCATTTGTTTTTCTGCTGTTGTTGCACGCTCCAATTTCTGCTGTATAAATCTTGAACCATGTTGGTCTTGCGAAAATTCCACGATGTGATTTGTCAACTCACGTAATTGCAAATTGGGATATCTTTGATTACGAAAATCTTCTAAAAGACGGGATCTTGAACGATCTGCAGCACCAGCTCCAGCTGCACCATTTATTCCTCCAGCTCCTGCTACTCCAGCACCAGCATTTGAGCTAGCAGTACCACACACGACGCCAGGTACTTGTCCAGTTGTTGGCAATATTCCAGGGCGTAAGGCAGCTGTTGCTGCTAAAGCTGCCATACTTGGATTAGTAGCAGCTGAAGCTGCAGATGAGAGAGATAAATGCTTTGAAAATAAAGAGCTACTTGAACCAAACATTGTGTTTGCGGTAGATAGAGCTGATAAATGGTTAACGCCACGATATTTTTGTGTTTCAGCACCTGGAGCACGATTTGTAATCATTTGAGTTGGTGGAGGCGTTAATGGTGCGCCGATTGGACTGGCTGAAGCGGTTGTTACAGCACCGAGAGTGCTGTAATTTCCAGGCCATTTCCGTGCGGCTGCTGCAACTGCTGCTGCAGCTGCTGCTGATGATGATACAGCTGAACTTCCACCCGTTGCAGCAGCTACAGCTGCAGCTGCATTATTACTGTAATCTATTGAAGGACTAAAGGCAGATGTATTACGATCAAATGAATCTCGACGTCCAGTTAATGATGATGTATTTAAAGCAAGACCTAAATAAAAGAAAAAGTTTCTCATTAGTTAAAGTAGCATATTGTATAATTTTCACTTTATGAAATACAAATTAAAAAAATAATACTAAATTTTCTTTTTATTTACATGTTTTCATAAAATAAGGAAAATAAAAAATTAAATAAAATTATTTACAAAAAAAAAATTATTTTGCAGATATTTTCATATTTTTTTAAGAAAAATTTAAAATTATATTTATGATATGACCAATCTATTTGAATACACATATCATTGTTTTGCACTCACATACCAGAAAAGTTTCCTAGACTATAATGATAAAAGTAAGGAGAAGGTATCATACTTTTTTCCTGTAATCTTACATATATTTTTTTGAAATATTATTTAAAAAATACTATAAAATTATAAAACAATAAAAAACAAAAAAGGTAAAGTAAAACTTAAAAAAAAATCAAAGTAAAGAAATACTTCTTATTTAAAGAAAAATTAAAGTGGAATACTTCTATAATTAAAACAGGTATTTAAAACTCTTTGCATATATTTCTGTTTAGTGTTGCCTTTTTGTACCTTTTTTTGTAATGAATTTTTAGGTAATGAACTTTAATCAAGTTCAACCAGGGATATTTCTGAAACTTATCTGAATAAAGAAAACTCTATTAGATCTTTATCAATAACTATATATATACATACACAGTAGCAATTATTATCATGATTGATCAAAAATTTATTTAGTCATATTTTTGATAAGGCTCCGTAATGAAGTTCCCTAGCTAGGAAACAGATCTCAGACTGAGATGATTCCAGAAACGAATTCCTGGATTTTTTCGGAAAACTTAAAATAACAAAAACAGAGTTTGAAAACAACGACCCCTTACAAAAAGTGCCCGAAAATTGAGGGTTATAGTTTTCAATGGAGTCAAAAACATTACTTTCAGTTTTTGGATTTTTTTTCTTCGTTTTTTTGTTGTTTTGTTTAGCTTTTATCATATGATGGGGTGGTATGTTTCAAGAATTAAGACGGAATGATGTATAGTTCCCTAGATATTAAAACTATTTTATATGGGCGAGTTCCTACATAAAAATTTTAATTTCTCTCCTAAAATTGTAATTTTGGTATACATGTATACAAATGTGTGCTACATGAACTTTACATGTACATTACAAACATGTGTGTACAAACAGAATAATATTATGGAAATTTTTTTTGAAATTTCATTATTAATGTTTGTATAAAAGCCCATTAAAGGTAGCACTGCTATAAGCAACTACATTTAAATTAAAACGTTTACACTGATAACAGTTCTAATTTGATTTTTAAGAGAAAAGGATAGCAATTTTTATTTTAACAAGAGCTGTTTTATTTTTTTTTTGGTATTGTGTTTTGAACTGCATATATGTATTTATTAATTTTTAAAACAAAATTAGAAAGCAACAAAATATTGACAACGTTCACGTGAGTTTAATTATCAAATAGAAAGAGAAACAATAGTTTTGTAGAATTTAATATTAACAACGTGTTAAAGTAATACTTGTTTTTTTTTATATAAGTTAAGTTTTTTCTCAATTTAGTCAAGCAGAATGTCTAATGTACGTAAGAAAATTTTAATTAAGCAATGACCAACTCGAAGTTTTTTTTATATTGGCAAATTTTAAATTTGTTAATTTTGCGTATTTTATTATTTAAAATTTATGAATTTAGATTCAGATTTTTTTAAAAAAGTCAACTTTCAAATGAGAAAATTCTTACCTTGTAGACTTTTTTTCTGCTTTTTCAATATTCGATATTAGTCATACTAACGATACGACCAAATTTTAAAAGACAGACCAATCAAAAGATTTTCTTTTTATGATATTTAATTAAATAGGTAATACGTAAGTATATATGTATGTACATTTAAATCATTTAATTATTAAATGAACTTAATATTCATAATCTATGTATGTACATACATGTTTATATATTTATATAAATATTTAATTTATAATTACTTGGGTATCAAATTTTATGAAATTAAAAAAAAAATACATACTTATTTTGTCTATTGTTGTCATAGTAGAATTGTGTGATTCATAAAAATTATTTTATGTTCCATTGAGTCAAAATAATTTTTATTTTTAATTTTAAATAAAACATATTATGCGTGTATGTATTTTCAAAAAATTAAATAAATAAAAAAAAATAAAAGTAATAATTTCTATTTTAATATTTTAGCAAATTCCAATATGAAGAAAAAATAGAAATTTTTATTTTATTGTTTTCTTAAATTTTAATATTGTTTAATATTATTATTGTTGAAATACTATATACATTATAATATTAGTATACATATGTGCATATATGTATCATGCACATATGTATGTATATGTTGTTATTTAAATTCTGTGAATATACTGTAATATATTAATTAAAACGATTACTTAAACAAACTTTATTTATAATTCTATTTCTTTTTTTAAATTGAATGTTGTAAATTGCTATAAGGTTTTTAGAAATTTTTTGTTTTAGAAACTAAATTTTTTATTTTACTCTCCTATCAAAACTTTATATATTGCAACAAAAGTATGTATACATAATGTACAAATGATGTAAGATAGAAATTTATGCCGAATATTTGACAAATCACATAACTCTATCTTTATCTGCATTGGCAAATTGCGAACATTTAAATTTTTACCACAAGAAATAAAAAAAATTGTTCATAGAAAATAGTATGTAAAATTTTTACAGATTCTAATGTATTCTAAGAATAAGCTCTATATGGTGGAATAGCACAAATTCCACTTTTGTTTTCTATTTTGATAAAAATATTCCGCATTCATTTATATAATTTCCAATAAGGTAGTAAAATTGATAAGACGACCGAAAAAAAACAACAAAGAAATAAACAAGCACGCATTAAGCACCAATAAATATCACTTCTAACGTGTATTATCGTAAAGCTTTTAGTCTTTTTTTTTGGCAGAATAGCCAAATTTCGGAATTCGGTGGGTCATATATTCCATATGGGAAATTTATTATAATCTAAATATTTTAGATATAATATTTTCTTTACTTTTCATAATAAAATTTATTATATTTTTAAAAGTATATAATTTAACGTTATATAATTATCAGAGAATTGTAAATTTCGTGTAGTCAAGTGTAAAACCAAAACTAAAACGAGGATGAAAAGAATAAGTGATATGAGAATAAAGTTAAGAAAATTAATTTTTTTTTTAGTAATAACTCTCTGAGGATTAATAAAAATGAAACAAGGAACTGTATTTTAATTATAACTTATTTACATACATACATACATATGTACATAATTTTATATAATGTTGTTAAGTACATAAAATGGATGTATGTATACATACAAAGAAAAACCTTATTTTGAATATATAAAGAATTTTTTCAAAAGTAATTTACTTGGTTATATATTATAAGCCGTAAAATTTTTAATAAAATATGAAATGAAAATATCTGCAAAACGTATAAAATATTGTTACACATTTGTTATTTATATTTTTAAATATTATTTAAATGATTAAAAAATAAAAACTTTTATTACTTTATTTGAAAATATTTTTACATTGTTCATATGTATATAATTATTCTTATTATTTACAATGAAAATTTGTAATAATTAAAATAAAATCAAACTACAATTAATAAATCTATAAATTATTTTTAATCAATATGTGTAATTCCATTAATTATGTTTTATGAGAATATATAAGTTTAGATATCAAATATTATTCATGAATTTTCTTTGATGAGAATTTGGATGTTCTCCGATTTTTTCCATAACGAAAACTAAGTTTGTGGACTAGTTTACAAATCAAATTTTCATCAAATTATAAAAAAAATCCATGAAATTCTTTTGATGCTGTAAACTTTGACTAAAAAAATCAAAAAATTTTTTTTAATAAAACATAAATATCTACCTGAAGGTTGTGCGGGGCTCCCCAAGGTACCAAGACCACTGCTAAAAGCTTGGGGTGCTAATAACCCGCCACCTGTGTAGAATAAACATTTGTATATATATGTATATATGTTTTAGAATATATTATTAAGCAAAACAATCAAAAATAAATTAAAAAATAAATTAGAATTTTTTTTTCTATTTATGTACATTAGTTTCCCTTAATAATCGTACTTATTAAAAGACATGCATATAAAAGAATGGGTTATTTACTTTATTTATTTAAAATTAAATAAGCATGCATTTAAAAAATTTATTAGTTAAATTATGTAATGTATAGACTATCGTTGTTCACATTATATGTATATGTACATATATAATTAAAATAAAGGAGAAAGTTAGATCATTTAAAATATCTTGCTGTAAATATAAAACAGAAACACAAAATATGAAAAACATGGATAATATGCAGAAGGATGTGCCGAAAGAACGTATCTTCGAAAAGGCGAAATCTCTTTTCTTCTCTAATCTTTCTAATTTGTGTTATTTTGAAATTTTAAATGTGTTAAATACTTTGTTTAATTTGAAACTTATTGAACAAATGTGAGACGCAAATATTAGAATTTCGAATTTTGATTTGATTTTGAAAATCAAAAGAGCTATTAAGAACACTTGTACTGAACATTGTATATAATTTAATCACATATTTCAAAAAGGGGCAAATTTTATGCTATACTATTAAATTTATATACTATACATTAAATTTAAAAGTATAAATAAATTCATTTTCCAATTATTTTACGTTCGATAATTTCTTTTATTTTATTACGAAGCCGTGTACTTCAAGTTTTATTAGATTTCGTACAAAAAAATTAACAAAATAGTTAACTTAAAGTTAAGAAAACATTGAATCATTCTTTCTTTAGTAAAAATGAAACGTACAATAAAAAAGGTCGGCATAAAGTCTAAAAAGCCTAAATAATTGAATTTGTTCCTCTATTTAGACTTTATTATCAAAAAAAAAAATTTAAAAATTAAAAAAAGAACAAAGAAAGAAATAAAAAATAAGGAAAAAGAATTTTGTTTAGTGATAAAATATTTCCGACACAATTTCATTCTTATCTTGAGTTTTTTTTTTTGTATTTGATTTTTAAATTAAATTAAAAATTGAAAAACCCAATCAGAAAAGATAAAAAAAGAACTTCGAAATGAAATCAATTACTTAATAGAGTTAAATTAAAGTGAAATTTTTATATATATTAATTTCCCTTAATATTTATACAAATTGTTGCAATTAGAAAAAGCCGTAGAAAAAGAATTAGAAAATACAATATGTAGTTTTATGAAGTAAAGTAATAGTTAAATAATTTGCATACACTTATTAAAAGGTTAATATTGGTTAACTTACTTAAACAGTTAATTAAATAGCTTTATTATTCGCAAAGCTAGTATTAATAAATATTGACTAATACAGACTAATCAAAATTCTTAGATGATATTTTATTTAAAAAAATGCAACTTATCGAATAATATACAATAATGAACATGCAAAAATAAGTTATGTGATAAGCCTATAATAAATTCTGACTTTAAGTATATTTCCGATATAATACTCGTATTACAGTTTAAATTAAAGAAGGTTATAAAATGATAAATTATAAAGCTTGTATTTGAATTATTAAATTTGTATTTAAATAATATTTTTCATTATATACACCTGTAAACATTTCAATTTTACATATAGGTACCTATTTGTATGTAGTATTTACATATTACTTTATTATTATTTACTTATAACGTAGACGTTATACAGAATGTTTAAATAATGTAAATTTTATATATTTCAATATTATTAATTATTATACTCTCAACATTATATTAAATGTAAATATCGATTCGTACTACTTCAATTTTTCATTTTTTTTCGTATAATTCAATCAATTAACAGAGGGTAATTGTAATTTAAATTCAATTACTCTTATCAAATTTATACTTATTGTCAGATGCAAAGAAAAAAATACAAATTTTATTTAACTTAATAAAAAAAGAAAAACATTTGAATAAATCCAAATAATTAGAGTTAATGCTATTCAAAAGAAAAACAAAAATACGATAAAGGAAGAACGCATAACATTAATAATAGCTGTTGAGTGCAATTGAAAAAAAAACGATACAATTTATATTTGTATTTAATTTTTTTGATATATAATATTTACTCATATTATTTGTGGTAATTTTTGCTTTTAATTTTTAAAATAAATTGAATATTTAATTGTATATTTTATGAAAATAAAATATATTTTCTTTATATAAGTTTTATAATGGAAATTAATTCAAAACAAATATTTTAACAAATATTTTTTATTATTTACACATATCAAATTATCGGTTAATATTGGACAGGTTAATTGCATTTAAATATAATTATGTTTGAAAAATTATTTACATTTTAATATTTTACAATAAGTTTTCTGAATATAAATTCAATTTTATTATAAAAATTTTTCTGAAAAATATTCCTATTATGCTTATTATGCTCTTAATCTAACATAATTTTGAATAGTGATTGCAATTATAAGCAGTACAATTTAGTTTTAATAATGGAATTTGATATTCTTAGGCTTGCAAAATTGTATAATTTAATTTAAAAATTACAAGAATTTGTTTATTTCAATGTTTGATTTTAAATATTTTAAAATTATTCCGTAATTTGGACTTCAAATCTGTAAATTTATAACAATATTTATATTAACTGACAAACATATTGAAAGATAGACCCCCAAAAGATTTTATTAAAATATGATTAACGAAATTTGAATATCAGGCAAAACGAGAATTGTTAAAATTTTTAAATATGGGTTATTTTTGCGAAATGAAAAAAAAAGCCAATTTACATAAAAATTTATTCGCATGGAACAATTAATAAGTTTTATGATCTGAATCGTAACACTTGACATACATATATACGAGTACAATGCTTGAACAAATTTTAATTTATTAGCATATGGTATAATTAATTGCATACATATGTTCAAATATACAGTTTATATGAAAATTATGCACATACACATGTAAGTACTTGTATAACATAACAAAAAAAATGTTTTGTACAGACATTGCTAAGATATTTAGCAATAAAATTGTTGGTAATACTAATAAATTTTGTTAAAAGTCTAAAAATTAAATTTAAAATTTAAAATATATGAACAAATTTCTGTAATTACTATTAATGTATGAAGCAGGATTATAATAATTAAGAAATAACATGATATGTATAACAACTACATATGTATATGAATAAGATAATAATGTGAAACTAAGAATTGCTTACAGAATGTCATGCATAATACTAACTGTATATTTCGTCATCTATATTATTTTAAGTATGTATTATATTATATAAATTTTGAAAGTTTCCTTATACTTGATAACACATCCTGTTTTACATTAGAAAATTAATAAAATTTATGAAATAAAAAAATTTATTTTCAAGAAATAAAACAAAAATACTATATTATTAATTAAACAAAATTATAATTGCAAATACAAGCTTATATACACATATAATAATATGAAAATTGTTATATATATATATATATATATAAATATTTTACATACATTTTAGATTAATAGTGTAAACAAAATTGAAAAAACCAAGAAAATAGATAAAATGAGTTAAAAATAGCATAGAATTAAATTAGAAATATAAGCAGTCAGAAAATAATTAAAAATTATTACCTTAATAAATTATTTGAAAAAAGAAAAAAACAGGTTACAATACAAAATGGGAAAAAAAAAGAAAACTGAACCTACCTCCAACACTTGAACCATTCTGTGTTGAATACATATTTTGTTGTGCCGTTTGTGGCTGTGGTGGATACATTTGAGGCGCTTGTGGCGGCGCTCTTGTTGCTCCCGGTGGAACCAAAACAGGTGCTGGACTAACTAATCTCATTGGTGTACCTGTTCTTGGTCCCATTACTAATGAACCACTTTGATCAAAATATGCTGGTATAACCTATACACATATTTTTACATATACACATATATTTATACATACATATTCATTTACATTATTACAAAAATGATCCATGATTTTTGTTGTTGATTTTTTTATTGTTGATTTTGTTGTATTTTTGTTATATTTAATGTTGTACATTTTTATACAATAGTAGAGTTTTTTAAATGTTTTTTTTTTAAAGATGATTATTGTTAATTTTTTGTGGTTGTTTGTTATTGTTGAAGTTATTGTCGTTTGAATATGTTTTTTTTATTTGTTTTTTAATTTTATTTTATTTTGATATTATAGCAATGGTTGTGATAGAAAGAGAAAAAAAGCAAAAGAAAAAAAAACAAAATAAATTATTTTTATACAAAATTTACAATTAAAATTTTTAAAATTATATAATCGTTATAAAATATAAAATATGTATAAGTATTTAAATATTTTTTATATAAATTTTTAATTAATTTTATATTTAAAATCTTGTTATAATATTTTCTTTTTACAAAAATTATTGAGCTCTCAAAAGTTTCAAACTTCAGTAAAAGTTAAAATAATCATAATTAAATAAAATTTAATTATTTTGTTCTGTTTCTTGTGTAATATTTTCGAAATGCAATGTCCTAGAATTTATGAAATATAGATAAAATTGCAAGCAAATTGAAATGCTTAATTTTTAGAGCATAACGTTTGAAAGTAATATAAATATTCCAAAGTCATGAATTTTAGTTTGATTAAAACATATGGAAAAATTTAAAAAATTTGTGAACAACAATTGCACGATTAGGTTTACAAACTTCAATTGAAAATATACTTTCAAAATAGAATTTATGCAATTAAGTTTATGATTACCATAAATAACCTTGTACAGTTATATATGTAGGTAAAATATAAACGTACATATACATATTTTCGTAAAAAAAATTTATTTAAAGTGTGAAACATTTTAAGAGCTTAATATTTTTTTTAATACCCAATACTGTTCCATTATATAATTATATGTACTCGTAAATAAAAATTTTATTTTATAATACATATATAACATATATATTTGTACATATATACATATATAGGAGATATATTATGAAAATATACATAATTTAATTCGAAATTAATTATGAAATGAATTCATATTATTGTTCGCGGAACCCCCTTCCCCCCCCCCCCCCCCCCCTCCACCTCTCTTCAATTCAAAAATATTGCTTTTAATTAAAAATTATTATGTAGTAACACTATACATGTATAGTAAATAAATGATTTTTGGAAAATTTTAATTGGTAACAAATATGTTATATTCTTATGTACGTTTTTTTCAATTTTGAAAATTTCATGGAAAATGTGCTGAACAACAATATATGCTATAGGTACGATAATTAATAAGAAGATAAATTGTATTTATTATTTAATTTAATAACATTATTCCAATGACGGATTAAATTATTTTTTAATTCAATTAATAACTTTTATTCTTATTAACAAAATGTTGAATAAACCGTAGTTTTTTGTTTCACATTTTATTTAATTTTAAATAAAAAAAAAACACCAGAATGTATTTTTTTTTGTTACTAATATTTTCTTTTTGTTGTTCAATACAAACTTTAATTTAATTTGGAGAATTTTATTTACAATAATATATTAAGTATTTAAACTGTTTCGTTTTAATCGAATTTTATTGTATTTTAAAATATTGTTTTAAATATCATCATCAATTACACTAAATATACTAAAAATAATTATTATATTTATTGTATATTCATTTAATTATTGCATAAATACTCCGAGAGTTTAAAGAAAGTTTAAAAAGAAAAGAAAATTTCATTTCACTTTGCCAAAATTGAAATGTATTGTTTTCAAAAACATTATTATTTTCAAATTTATAATTATAAAAGGTTATTAAGAGTAATTTTTTGCAGAATTCTTGATGAATGCTCATTCAATACTGTTATTAAATCTAAGTTTGACATAATTTCACAATATAATTGGCTAAAATTTGAAAATTTACAAATAATTCCGAAAAATTTTCTAAGAAATTCGTATACAATTTTTTTTCTTAACTTTTTAAAGGGGAGAATTTTAAACAAATTATTAATATTTCATAATTATTATGAAATTAAAATCGTTTTTAAATATTATTTTATTTAAAATTTAAAATCTGTAAATATTTACAAAAATATTTATTTTATTTATTTTTTTCATATTAAAATCGCAGACTATTTATATTGTTTTTTTTTTATATTTTTGAATTTTTAATTTACTCCTGTATATAAATTTATATATGTGTTATATATGTACGTAACGTATATATACATAATTTATATTGGGTTTTGATATTTTAATATTATTTTAATAATTAATTTTTAATATTTTAAAAATCAATAAATTCATATATGTACGTAAATTAAATATATAATAATTATTTGTGTATAAATATATATTTTATATATAAATATTAAATACTTGTATATAATTTACAACAAATACATATAATTTTCACTCTTAAGTATAATTATTTTGTTATATATATATATATATATATGTATATACAATAGGATAATATTGAAAAAAACTCACCTGAAATGATTGATTTTCAGCACCTTGTTGTGATGGTGTTAGAGGTCTACGTGGTTGTGAACCTTGTTGTGGTATTACACCAGGATAAACCATTGTATTACCCCATGGTGTTACTCCATAATATTGGGGCATTTGTGCTGTTATTAAACCCATATATGGGGCACCTTCTTGTCCTGGATTTATAACATATGGTCCAGCAGCTGCAGCAGCTTGTTGTGCTGCTGCATATGCAGCACCTTGTTGTGCTGCCAAAAATTGCTGCGATTGTAATTGTAATGCTTGTTGTGGTGGCATACCACCATTTGGTGCACCAGGTTGTCCTGCTGCATTTGTTGCTGTTGCAATACCAGGATTTTGTGAACGAAATAGTTGCTATAGTAATGTAAAAAAGTAAAGAAAAAAAAAACAGGTAAAAATATTAATATTTAATTATGAATTAATTTTAAATAAAATTTTTATGAACACAATATAATAAATATAATATTTAACGTATATACGTATGTATATATTATGATTTTTTTATGCAAATAATGTGAAAAATAAAGGAAATTATTTGTTCACTGACAAATGCAGTGTTTCTGTTTTTTTTTATAAAAAAATATATGTATGTTTAAATTTAAATGGATGTCATGATAAAGATAAAAATTGTATTATACATTATAAATTATATATACATATATTTATTCATATATACATGTAGGAAAAAATACTGATATGGTATGACTAAAATCGAACAACAAACAAATGGTGTGTATACTATCTGGACTCCTTTTAGGTAAATTACAATAAAAAATTTAAAGAACTTCATTTAAATTTGAAATTTAATACTCATAAATTCTGAATTTGTCAAAAGTTTTTTTTTTGATATTTTAAAATTTTTAATGTCGTTTTGTTGCTATTATAATAGATCTAATCAAAGCTTATCACACAGTAATTGGATTCTTTTAAGGAAAATATGTGATATAATAATTCCGAAATTTTATAAACATTTTGAAGGCTGCATAGAACCTTTAAAAATTCAAAAATTTTTATAAAATACAACAAAAAATCATCTGTTCTGTATTATGACAGCAATTATAAAAATATCTAGGCTGCTATTTTTATGAGAATAATTATTAGATATAGGTTGCTAAACCGTATATCTGTTTTAATTCATTTTCCTGTATTAGTAAATTATTGATCTAAGAAAAAAATATGTATATAGGTCATTAGAAATAATTGATAAAAAAATAGTTGAATATAGGATAGTTTTTTTTTTATAGTTATGTATTTTTAACCACAATTTTTTATGCTAACAATTTACCACATTCATGTCAATGCCTATTACTATTATTTAATCTTGTATTTAAACTTACATATTTATAATTTATATAACAATTTTAAGCCACACAAACATGTTATTTTGTATATAAGGATTGTATATAATTATACACACATATACACAAAAAATCCATACTTGAAAAGCTTGGATGGCGGCAGTATGAGAGAATCATTCAATTATTCGAATTCTCTTTTAAATGCCAAAAACATATAGAATTCAAAAAGAAAGGATATTGCAGCTGTATAATTTTTTTTTGTTTTTTAATTGCCTTTTGAAAATTTTTACTATTATATGAAAAAGAAAGGAAAAAAAAAGTCCATATAATCAAAAGAGGAAAAAGGAGAAAAAAAAGCGAACGGTAAAATCGCGCAAAAAAAAACTCATTTAATTATAAAATTTTCTTTAGGGGATTTTTTCAAATTTCCAAATGTGTTTTTTTTTTCTGTGGTTGGGAAAAATTCTTGGCGAACTTAAAAAAATTGAAATGAAAAAAAAAACAAAAAAGGAACCAAGAGAATTGTGAAAAAAATCATAAATTTTTCAATGATGGATAAAAAAGACCTGCCGTGAAAATAAAATAGAAAATTATTTTTCATTTTCTTTTTTTTATTTTTTTTTTATTATTATTACTTTGCTCTTGTTCATTCCCTTGAAATGTCACGAACAGAAATCGTGTCCTAAATATGGTCTTTTTTTTTTTTTAAAAAGAAAAAAAATGAAAATTTTCATTTCTCTTTTTTTTTTTCTTCAAATATTCCACAGAGATTTTAAAAAACATGAAAAATTAATAAGAAAATGAATAAAACAACAAAAAACAAAAAACAAAAAAAAAAATATTTTCATTTTTTGGAAATAATTTTTGAAAATTGTAAGATGTTTGTTATGAAAGAATTTTTATATATGTATGTACATACAAATATATATGTACAAAACGTGCGTAATATATTCCCTTCTGTAAACTCTTTAAGAGTTCATGAAAAATTTTGTTAGAAAATCTTTAAAAAAAAAGTCAAACATATTTTGGTATACAATATCAAATTTGTCTGGAAATATCTAACTATTTTATATAAAAATTAAGTGACTTGAATTCATAATTGCAGTATACGTATTATAATTTATTAATACATAATCCAGGGTATGAATTGTAATTACTGAATTCTAATTACTTGCATTTTATTCATATCAATGTTCTTTGCTCAGTAATGTGGTTTAGTTGCTTTAAATTTTTTATTTTAATTTATTTTTTTTTTTTTAATTTTATTTGTTCGATTTAAAATACGTCGGGAACGAACGTTTTATTTACAAGTGGTCAATTTATAGAACTGTTCTAACTAAGACAAAATTGTGTACGAAAATGTATTTATAAAATTTGTGGCACATAGTTTGCGAACTTTTTTGTATTAAAACAGAAATATGTGCATTTATACGTATGTACATTATATGATAAGATATAATTGATGAAATAGATTACACCTAACACAAAAATTCACATTGAATCAAATATTACATTATAATGAAGTACGGTTTTCAAATTCAGTTCGACTTAAATATAATTTTTGTTGAATTCTACTTGACCTCAAATTTTTGAATTAAATTTATAAATCGTAATGTATGATACTCTCACAGTCATGATTATAGGAATGTATGACTAAAAGTCCCGAGAAAAAGTATTTCAAATTTTTTTTTAATTATTTCTTTTTTTTTTAATTATTTAAAAAATAATCACAATAAATTTTATTACCGAATATCCTAAATTAATAAATCAGTAAATAAAGCAGTTTAGAAATAAAAAAAATTAATAGAAAAAAAAAAGAAAAATTTATAATTGAAAAGTAAAATGGAAAACGAAATAAGTGGAAATAAAATGGAGAATGAATAAGAGAAATTAAATGGTAAGTGGAAAACGACAAAGCGATCACAAAAATTTTTCCAATTAGTTTTCTCATTCAAATATGGAAATTTTTTTTTTATTATTAAATCATTATAGCCAGCGATCAACCGCAAAGACACAAAAAACAAAATAAGTGCGAAAAAATCTTCAACAAGTTTACAAGGACAAAAGGACTTTTTTGTCGTTTGTATATTGTTTTTGAAATTTGAAAAAAAATTTATATTTTGTTTTAATTATTTTTGAATTTAAATTAAAGAAATTGATAATTGAAAAGTATATATATAATAATTAATTTCAATATTTGTTCGTGAACTATAAAAAATAATTGAAAATAATTTCAAATATAATTTATAATATTTTTGTGATATAAAGAACATAAAATGGGGTACATAGTCTGCCCTAGATATGGCATAAGTTTAAACAAAGTTGGAAAACATTATTGAGGGACACATAGGTTTTTGTATATTGTGTGCGTTATCGTTCAAAAATAATTTTATGTCATGTTATCCAAATTTGATTTCTTATATGATAATAGGAGGGAAGAGACAAGCGAATTTGTTGTCAACGGAACAATAAAAAACTACTTGAATTTAATTGAAAGTAAAAATTTAGGTTGCAATTCAAAGACTGTGTACATAAAGAAAATTAAAAAAAAATTTTCTAAATTTTAAATATTATTTAAAAATTTTTTTGATAATCTTTTGTTTTTAGAGCTTAATATAATACAATTATAATTTGTATTGTGATTTAATGACGAAATTTTTCTAACGAAATTTAAAATTAAATATTTCAATAATTATTATTAAATTTCATTAAATTTATTTTCTGAACATTTAAAAAATTTAAATTCCCTTATTTTTTTGTTGATTATCACTTTAGGGCATGAACATTACTTTTTCTAATAATAATATGCTATATAGGTTCTATATATGGATTTTCTATATTTATACAAATAATGTGTTCTAAGAATTTTATATTTATATACAAAAGGTAATATTTATATTATTTAAATGTAATATAATGTATATAATTAAATTATATTTTTGTATTTATATTAAATTGAAATTTCTCTTACTGTTTTTCATTATAAAAAATATTTGTATTTCTTTTTAAATGTAAATGAACTCTATTGAATGTGTATATACAGCCGACTCAATTTCGAGGTACATACAATATATTATTTTCGTGTAACATATATTATAATATGTTTATAAAATTTGTTTTGAATTTAATATTATTAATATTAAAATACCGAAAAACTGTCACAAGTCGAAAAATATAAAAATTAAGTTTTGATCAAATTTTATTAAGAATTAGAAAACTGTTACACAATTATTAATTTTATTCATTTTATATTAAATTGAAATAAAAAATCATAAATTTTATTAAATTTTCAATTGTCTCGAAATTCAAAATTTTTAAATATAATAGCAATCTTCAATTACGACTTGTATAAAAAAAAATAATAATATTAACAATACAAGTAAGGACTTTTATTTTTCTTGAATTATTCAACCATTCAGATTTCCATTATACTTATTTACATATACATATTTACTCCTACCTTTTAAAGGAGGGTAACACTTCATTGTTACCATTCCTTATGCTTCTTCTTATTTTTCTTTAGAAATTACTTAAGGTACTAAGCAACCAGTTGAGTTCATTTCATTTCTTATCCCTCTTAATATATGTACAATTATACATTTTTTGATTGTTTATATTCCATAATAATAAAATTCTACGTAGCCTCAATATTAAATTTCTCCTCCCTTATAATTTTTATGCAAAAAAAAAACAAGTCTCTTATCCTCTTTACCTTTAACACAACAGCATCAATAAGACATACAAACATGTATACCAAAATTTATACAACTTGAATAGAAAATAGTATTATAAACCAGCAACAGATGTCAAGAATCATGACCTAAATTTACGCAACCGAAAGATTTTCAATTTTAATTTTTATTTTTTATTTTTTATACTGTTCACAATTTTTCTTAGAAAACAAAAAGGAAAGCATTTAAAAAAATAAAATTAAAAAAAAAATAGCAACAAAAAACATTTCCACTAGCTTGATTTTGATTTTCAATAGCTGAGCAAGTAAACAGCAAAATGAAATTGAAAAGAAAAGAAGAAAAAAGAATAAAAAACGATACCAATATATTGAAATGACGATTAAATGGAACAAAACGAAAATGTTGATGACGACAACGGCAACAACGCAGCAACACAAAACACATAATAACAACAAAAATGACTTTATTATATACATATACTTATAAACAACAATGATGACGACAATAATTTTTATTATATTAACTGCTATGGCAATGAGGTCGATCATTTTAAAATATTGTCATTGTAATTTATATTTTTTACTGTTTTCAGTTCAGTTTATTTCACAAATTTTAGGGGTTGAATAATAAAAATAAAAAGAAACTGAAGTGATATTTAAGTGTTATTTGAATTGTAAAATAGAAATACTTGTAAATAAAAGGTAATGAAAGACTCTGTTCCCTCCTATTATTTGTTTATTAAAATTAAACTATACAAAATATCAATAGTACGTATGTATGTAGATATGTATGTGCAATTAAAGTAACGAACTTATAAGGAATTTAAAAAAAAATATTGTATAAATTAAAATTTGAATTATTTTTGTATTAAATGTTTAAATTTTAAAAGAGTTTACTGAACCTCCTAACTTAAAAAAAATTTGTATGTAATACAATTGTGTATATGTATATAATTCATAGTGATAGGTCTACAGAAGACAATTACTGCAATTACACAACGAACTACTTATTTTGAGGGGTGCTCGCGAGTTTTAAGTTTTTTGATTTGGTATTTTGATTAAGCGCCACTTAAAAACGTAGTGCGTTTATGTAATTTCAAACATTGTATTTTATTTATCACTATAATAGACAATGGTAATTCATTGAATCTAATTTAAGTGTGACTAACAAATTTAAATATAACGTTCTTATTCCAAAAAAAAAATCATCCGTCCTGCTATATGAATAGCTACTATAAATTTATTTTTAATGAAAATTGAACAACATAATCATAATTTGAAAACCTAGATTTACCTAATACATAAAGTATACATATAAATAAAAATATATTATAAATAAGATTCTACATTTTATAAATATAATACAAATAGTATATTACTCCCTCTAGAATTTCTGATTGGCAATTTCAAATGAATTCATATTACTGTTTTTCTTTTTTCAATATATGCGCCTATATTCACTAGTATATCGCATACATAAAATATGTATGTATGAGCAGTTCTATACATATTTAATACACTTTAAGCAATCACTTATGTATTAATAATAAAACAAAAAAAAAATAAAATAGGATTGAAAATAGAATACAATTGAGACCTTTTAGGAAATAGTCAAGAAAATCGTAAAAAAAAAATTTTAGTTTTATTAAAATGAAAATTGTATGATGGTTTTCAAATGATACAAATGTGTGTGTATACATTGTATAAGCTTTTTTTTTTTGCTGAAAACTCACCCGTCTTTATAAGATATTAAAAAAAATTCATTGAATAAATTGCATATTCTTCTTATTTTGTTGGTTTAGTTTCTTATACTTTAATTTTTCTCTATGTATGTGCATGATTTTTACTTTTAATTTAAAAAAAAAGAAAAATTTTGACTTTCTATATCAAAACATTAAGATTTTATTTTAAAAAATCACAAAATACACACACTTTTTTATATTATTCTATTTTGAAGTCAAAAAAGGATCTGCCTCTCTTTTCGTTCACGCTTACATATATACCAAATATCTCCTTTATATTTTAATAATATGTATATTAAATGTATAGTACAAGTAAAACAAATAAAAAGCGATTCACAATAGCAAAGGTTCATAGAATCTGACATTTCACCTTTTATTTATTTTTTTGCTTTGTTTTACAGGTTTATATTATATATAATATCCTTGAAAATTTCAACGTTATCACATACCGTTCGTACTGTTATAAAAATGTGTAATATGGAATACTTTAAAAAAAAAAACGTATTTCAATTAACTTAAACTACAGTATAAAAGAGTCAAGGAAAATATTATATAATATAAAAATAAATATTCTGCTTTTCCACTTTTTTTCCATTTGTCATATTATTTTATATATAGAAAAAATATATTTTATGCATTATGTATACATAATATATATGCACATATATAATTCACAAATACAAGAGAATTGCATGAGCAGAAAATTAAAATTTACACACGTATAGTCTTAAATATTGCATATACTCGAAATCTAGATGAATTTGTAATAAACACGTATATAAATGAAATATACTTTAAACTAACAATAGAACTACGGAATATACATGTATATTTAATGCAGTTTGTTGTTTATAACATTTCATGTATGAAATGTATAAAAGCACTAAAAGCCAACTATTTCATACATGTATGAAATGAAACAAGAATTCTTGAAGTAAATTTTTATTTTATTTAATTATTTCTTTTTTATTTTATTTTAATTTTTTTAGTTGACTAAAATAAAAAATCATTTGTAAATAATAAATTTCTGACGCAATATGCAGTTACGTTAAAATTTAAAGTGTATTTATAAGTATATATGCATAATTTTCATTAAATTTTGTATTGCGCATATTTCAAAATATGTTGGCGGCATTTTTAGGATTAATTATAGTCGAATCAATTATAATTAAAAAAAAAAAGATTTTTGAGAAATTTAAAAA